AATGGACAAAATCAAGCAGGTTTATTACTCCCAAATTCCATACGTATAATTAGTGATGCTCCGTAGTTCAATTAGAAGAAATTTTCATACCAAGGAGTACTATATCAGCAATATCTCTGTTAATTAATGTAGTGGTACAACATATGTGGATTTTAGCTACAATTAAATAATTAATCAATTATAATAAATTAATTTTTTAATTACAAATAAGTACCACAAACGTAGAGACATTCGTTACATTAATAAATAAAAAATTTTTAATATGTGTCATAAATGTATAAGTTGAGAATATAATTATTATATATTTTAGTCATTAAGTTACATAAAAATAAAAATTAATTTGAATTTTATTAACTAACAAATTAAAATAATATACGTGGCATTAATACTAAAATTGATATTAATTATTTTATTTTTCATAAAAATTAATGGCTAAAAGGAGTAATAATTACATATTTAACATATGGTTTAATGGTATAAGTTAGAAAAATCTATAAATAAAAATATTGTAAGAAAAAATACATATAAAAATACAAATTTTAATATTTTTCCAATTAAAAAATAAAAAAATTCAAATTCCAAAAAAAAAAAAAAAATTTCAAACCTTTCCAATTAAAAAAGAAAAATTTGGTTTTTAAAAAATAAATAAAAAAATAAAAAAAGTCATTTATCACATCAATATCACCATTCAATTAATTTTTCAATAAAAAATAAAATTAATATCTTTAAATAAAAACTAAAAAATTTATTATTTTATTAAAAAGCTGACAAAAATTTATACTTTTAAATAAAAAACAAAATTTATAGTATTATTTATTTATTTTCTCAAAATACCACTAGCATAATTTCCTGTTATAAAAAAGAAATTTCTCATACTACTAGTACTAGCATTAACCAAAGAGGTCTCAATGGAGCAGATGTCGGGTCGCTGTAGATTCGGTATAACGGTTAAAACGACGATTGGTCTAGTGATTTTGACTTCGGTTAAGGTAACCGTAAAAATTCTTCGATCAAACGGCCTCGGTTTTCTGCGTTTTGGTACAGATTTGATTGGTTTTACGTCATTTCCTGCGAAAGCGAAAAGCGCCAAAGCATTTACCAAAAAGAAAAAAAAGAGAAGCACCAAAGTGGTTCCGCTTTGAGAAAATCTAGAAGTCAAAAAGCATTGTTCAACTTCATGCTTCTCTTCATGGACAAGTTGTGTTCAAAATTTCAAATTAAAAGCACACTTGAACTTCAATTAATCCCCACTCAATTGCATTATTAATTAACGTTTCTTATAAAAATAATTAATTGATTTATAGTGGGGAGTTAATGGTGATCCATATATGCAGCAATATTTGATTTTTAAGCAAACAATAAAGTTAAAAAAAAAAAATTTGTGGGCAGGGAATGAAATGATGAAGGTTTGATGTGCAAAAAAAGTTTGATTGGACTCTGTTTATTTACGAAGAGAAAAAAATTGACCATGTTTAAATGTGTTAGTTGCATATGTACTCAGTTTTTTTTTTTTTTGTTTTTTTCGAGCAAGTGTAATTTTTGGGTGGAGAAAAGGCATTGAATCCAATTCATAAGGTTGAGAACACGTACCATTAACTAATCAGCCTATAAGACTAGGTGTGTGTACTCATGTTATGTTTGATTAACAATAATGAGTAAATTTTTATCATGTTTAGATGAGGTTATAATAAATAAGATAGTGGTTGCTAGAAGTATTTTTTTAGTATTGAATTTGAATACTATGTATATTAGGGGTTCCATAAAATGCTTGAATAAGGCTGTAAGATCGAAATGTATGGGATTATTTTAAATGTATTAACTTTGTAATTTGGGTTAGGGATCATTAATTTTAGTATATATGTAATTAATTTTGTACAATATTTTATATCAGATTCAATTAAAATAAAACATAAAACGTAAAAATAAGATAAATATAATATTTATCATTAAAATTTGCAAAAAAGTATGAATTTGATATAAAAATTTATACAAAATTTATTATAAATATTGTCATTAATAAGGATTATCCTATATCTTAAGGGTAGAGGTTAGACTACTTAAATAAAATTTTTGGTTTGTAGATAACAAAAGAAAATCATTTTTGTTTCTTATATGTGTTATGAAGTATGATGGTTGGTGGCTATAGTAATGGGATGAAGCTAGCCAATTTAGAAATTCGCAGAAATCTAGGTCAAAGTTCAGCTCTATATAGAGTAAGAAATAAGGTCAATTGGTCATCTCAGCCAGGCTTTCTTCTTCT